TAGGTACTGTGTAATTTCCTGGAAGTGATACATATGAAGGTTACGTAATATAGACTCTCTTACAGCAAAAATAAGCTATGACTGTTCAAACATACCAGAATAACCTCTTGAACCAATTTGACTTTTTGGTCTGTCAGACTAATTGGAATTGATGGTAGCTTGTTAACATGAATGAAACCAACTAGTTCTTTTCCATGGTCTAGATATTATCTAAACAGTGACTTAACTCCTGTCCTAGTCTAAATTTCTTCACCAACTTCCTTTTAAAAATCAAAGCTTTTTAATTAGGCAATAGTGCTTCCCAGAAAATTACCCTAGGAAAAAGGAGATCATAGCAGGCAGTTAAAAATATTATTTTCTTATTTTCCAAGTTGTTTTCTAAAAAAGCATATGGTTTATAAACATAGGGCAGTTTCTGGAAGAAAACTCTCCTAGTTAACAGTGGTGCCTCTGGACAGGACATTCTGAGGCCTTGAATAGTTATAGTAGCTTTCAGACAACTTAGTTTTTCCCATTTTAAACGTCATATTTTCAATTTTAAGTATTGTAAGGAACAGAAATAGTTTATTCTCAGTAATCTTCAGAAGCTCCAAAATGCCTCTTCTGAAAAAGAAGGAATCAGATGAGTTAGGTTATTTGCCCCCAGTGAGTTCCCCTTTGTTTATATGTGTTTTATTGCTAAATCAGAATGATCTAGAAAACTTTTATTTAATAAGTATAAATTATTGAAAGTACAACTTTTGGATTATAGTGGTTTTCCTCCCATAACTACCCTCCCACCCACAAACCATCCTATCTCCCACTCCCTCTCCCATCCCATTCTTCATCAAGATTCATTTTCACTTATCTTTATATACAGAAGATCAACTTAATATAGCTAAGTAAAGATTTCAACAGTTTGCACCCACACAGAAACACAAAGTATAAAGTACTGTCTGAATGTGAGTTTTACCATTAATTCTCATAATACAACACATTAAGGACAGAGATCCAACATGGGGAGCAAGTGTACAGTGACTCCCGTTGTTGATTTAACAATTGACACTCTTATTTATGACGTCAGTGATCACCTGAGGCTCTTGTCATGAGCTGCCAAGGCTATGGAAGCCTCTTGAGTTCACCAACTCCAATCATATTTAGACAAGGCCATAGTCAAAGTGGAAGTTCTCTCCTCCCTTCACAGAAAGGTACCTCCTTCTTTGATGGCCCCTTCTTTCCACTGGGATCTCAGTCACAGAGATCTTTCATTTAGGTCATTTTTGCCACTGTGTCTTGGCTTTCCATGCCTGAGAAACTCTCATGGGTTGTTGCCCCTTTATTTTTTCAACTTGTTTACCTTTTCTTTAAAGGCAGACAGAGCATTTCCATCTACTGGTTCACAATAGGCAGGGCTGCGGCAGGCCCAAGCCAGGAACCCAGAACTGAATCCTGGTCTCCCGTGTGGGTGGCAGGGGCCTGAATACTTAAGCCTCCCAGGACCACCATCAGCAGGAAGCTGGATTGGGAGCAGAGTAGCCTGGACTCAAATGAGGCACTTCGACATGGGGTAGTTCATACCTGCATCTGAGTAGTTAGTGAAGGTCTCTTTGGGGAAGCCACATCTAACCAAAGAAGCAGAGGGGGAAGGGTGCTTCCAGGCATGGGCCTAATTTCCTCCTGACAGCACTGGAACAGTTACTATCCAGATAGCCTTTCAGAAGGACCTGGATATGGGTTAGGGAGTTTACACTGTGAGTACATGCAAAAATGCCATCCAATAATGTATTTCCTTTTGTCTATAATTCTATGAAGAACCAATGATCATTCCTGGGGAAAATAAAATTACCAGCACCACCACCACACTTGTTTGTGTCAAAGAAAATCCCATTGATTTCTTTCTTCTCGCTCCTTCCTAACCTAGCTCCAGTTAAAAGTCTAAGGAAGTAAGAAACAGGGTGAAGTTTAATTGAGATTGGAAGAATCTGAAGCATTGCATGTTTGGTCATGGTTTCCCTGCATCCTTCTCTCAGAAGTTGTCACTTAGACCATCACAGATTTCAGAGCCTCCCTCACTAGACAAGATGCATCCTTTTCTCTCCTTGTTGGTTGTGTGAATTGGAAAATCCACCCATATGAGTTTCAGAATCTTCTTTTTTTAAAATATCTATTTATTTATTTATTTGAAAGCCAAAGTTACAGAGAGAGAGAGAGACAGAGATCTTCAATCCGCTGGTTCACTCCCCAAGTGACAACAGCTAGGGCTGGAAAAAGCCCAGGCCAGGAGTTGATGGGTCTCCCATGTTGGTGTCAGGGGCCCAAGCACTTGAGCCATCTTCTGCTGCTTTCCCAGGTGCATTAGCAAGGAGCTGGATGAGAAGTGGAGCAGCCAGGACATGAACCAGCACCCATATGCAATGCCAGCATCTCAGGCAGCGCCATCCCCAGCTATGCCACAACACAGGCCCCTAGAATTCTCTTAGGCTCCAGAAATGAGTCAACAGAAACAGTTCAACTATTCTAAAGCATATTCAATAGCAATTCCTACACATTTTAATTACATCGCTGTGGTCTTTATGGAACATTGCAATTCTGGCTCAAAATATGAAACTCATACCCTATAAAAAGTCATTTTCAAGTTTTCTTATTTTTATAGGGGTGATTCAACCCCAGAATAGTGTTTTACGTCTTTACTTGTGCCAGGCATCAGTAACCAGCAGGCAGCAATGGTATAATTGTTTGTGAACTTGATGAAAACTGTGAGAGTTTAGGACAGCCTTTCTATAAACAGCCTTTTGATTTCCTTGGACAAAGTTTATGGGGAAATTCTGAGAAGACACCAAACAAGGCTGGTTATAGTGAGGTGAAGAAGAGACTAGAAGCAAGAATGGATGGAGACAAAGGTGCTTTTAGAAAACCACTTGGAAGGATTTGAAAACTATAAAGGGAAAAGTTCTGAAATTAAGTCATGCAGGATCTTAGCCTTAACTATAGAATTATAAAGAGCCTATGTTACTAATTTTCAAAATTTACAAGATTCTGATTTGGTATCTATGGAGTGCTGGTTTCCCAATGTCTTTCTATGGGCTCATGTAAATGACCACGCTGATCCTGAAATTAAACCTTACATGATCTTTTGGAAATGATAGAAAAAAATACAAAACTCAACTTACAGTTACTGTGCCAACGGGTACTTTGCAGGAGATGAAAGAAAGGTGTTCTTGTCCAATTAGTAGGATACTGTTTCCTGTTGAATGAACCCAGTCTAAATTCTGAGTCACTAAGCAAGAATTAGAAAGGGAATCAATACCATATGGTATGCCATATCCAGCAGGGCCTTCCTTCCACCTTTAGGTTACTTGATTTCATGCTTTTAGTATAATGCCCAGTTAGATAAATAAATAGCACCCACTCCCAGGGACCGATTCATAGCCACTGTGTGCCTACTGCTTACTACGGCCACTAGAGGGCAGCACCCTGGCCTTGGGGCAAAGATTTTAAATTGTCAGCATGAAGAACAGACTTCCCAAATAGATCACAGTAACCATAGTTTTTGGTATGAGAAGAAGAGATTTGAGCCTAAATAGAGAAAAGCCACTTGGTTCACATCCAGTGAAACAGAGTCAACCCCCCAAGCACAAAGCAAAAGGTGACGTTGAGAGTGGTGTTAGGTGTTAACCAGCTGGCAAAATCAGCACAGCCTACACCGTTTCATGTTTCCAGCATCCCCCTTTAGCTTCATTCATAGTTTTGGCTGCTTGTCTTGAGACAATGCAGTCCTCCAGTGCCACTAGGTAGGATCGCTTGCATTACTCACAGGTTAGTAAGGATCGATGAGAGACCACTGCCTGCTTCTCCATTAAGTATCGCCCATACCCGAAACTTGTGTTACTCTTTGAAAAGTAGGCAATAGGACTACTTCAAATGAGAGTAATGTTTATCTCTTCTGTTTTATATACTCTTAATATAATTTACATTTAGCATATGATTTTTGGCATATACATTGACTATTAATTACTTAAATTATAATTATTATAATTATATAATTATGTAACAATTTGTAATAAATTTATATTTATAATGGCAATTTGTAATTTATAATTTATATATTTATAATAAATGACAACATATTCATTACTCTTTCCAGACCAAAAATCACTTAACTATTTCACCAGATATTTCATATTTCATTAAAAAGTGAAATAAATTATTCATATATGGAGTCTAAACAAAGTTGATCTCATAGCATGATGGTTACTAGAGGCTAGGGAGAGCAGAGGAGAGGGGATTGTGGGAAAAGTTTGATTAACAGGTTCTAAATTATAGTTAGATAAGAGAAAGAAGTTCTGCTGTTCTATTGCACAGTAGGGTGACTATAGTAGTGATACTATCTAATACTTCTCTAGACAACAAAAAACTAAAAGTAACGACTTTTTAAAGATTTATTTATTTGCAAGGCAGAGGTACAGAGAGACAGAGACAGACAGGCAGACAGACACCTTCCATCTGCTGGTTCACTCCCCAAATGGCTGCAATGGACAGAGCTGGGCCAGACGGGAGCCAGGAGCAGCTTCTGGGTCTCCCACGTGAGTGCAGGTGCTCAAGTACTTGGGTTGCCCTCTGCTGCTTTCCCAGGTGCATTAGCAGGGAGCTAGATTGGGACTTGAATTTTACCCTCTATATCAAAACACCAGCCCCCAAAAGAAAACATTTTGAATATTTTTACCACAAAGAAATAGTAAGTGTTTGAGGAGATAGATATTTTATCCTGGTTGTATATTACACAATGTATACAGTATAAAACATCACATGGTACCCCAAATATATGCACAATTTTTGTGTGTCAGTTAAAAACAAAAACTTTTAGTAAAATAAAGTAACAACCAAAAAAGGGGGAGAAAGGGTAATAGTACTCTACCATTATGCTACTTTGCTAACTTGAAAGGACATGGAATATGGAACTGTAAGTGCCCATGCATTCCATAGCTTTGCCATCTCTTACCACTATGTCTTTCTTTTTTCAGCTGCTGGCTGGGCGCTGGCCTTTTGACCACAATGACTTTGGCGTATTTCTCTGCAAGCTGTTCCCATTTTTGCAAAAGTCCTCAGTGGGGATCACCGTGCTCAATCTCTGCGCTCTTAGTGTGGACAGGTAACATGGTTCTTTTCCTTTGCTCTTTTGTTGGGTTTAGAAAAGCATTGTCCTCAGACATTAGAGGAGTCAAGTGTCTTGGTGTGGTTAATTAGTGTCCAGTGACTGAAAACATCAACAATCTTGCCTCTGCTGTTTAGAGTTGCTTAATGCATTTGCTGGTTGTTAGCTGTCTTTGGCTCAGGCAAGATGAACCTGAGCAATTTTGCCAATAATATCTGCTTAGCATCCTTACAGTGACAAAGGAAAGCTGAACATAGTACAGTAAGGAATGAACTTTGTGAAAAGGAAGTCGAAGGGCATGGAAAGCCTGTATTCCGATGTGTAAATGTGGCCGGCACCGGGGCTCACTAGGCTAATTCTCCACCTGTGGTGCCGGCACCCCAGGATCTAGTCCCAGTTGGGGTGCCAGTTCTGTCCCCGTTTCTCCTCTTCCAGTCCAGCTCTCTGCTGTGGCCCAGGAGGACAGTGGAGGATGGCCCAAGTGCTTGGGCCCTGCACTCGCATGGGAGACCAGGAGGAAGCACCTGGCTCCTGCCTTCAATCGGCACAGCGCGCCAGCCATACCGGCCATTTGGGGGGTGAACTAATGGAAAAAGAAGACCTTTCTCTCTGTCTCTCTCTCTCACTGTCTAACTCTGCCTGTCAAAAAAAAAAAAAATGTGTAAATGTAGCACTAGAAAAATGAAGACACTGTTTAGTTAAATTTGTGATGCTTGGCTACTTGAGCTAAGTGTTGAACACACAATATTGTTATGTTCTCCATGCTGTTTTAAATGCCTAAAATATTTCATAATTTTTAAAAAGAGGACAACAACAGGAACATTCCTTTATTTCATCTTGGGAAATCCATCATGTAGCTCCTACATCTTTTCAGAACCCTCACACATGGCTGTTTGCTAAGAAAACCTCCTGGATTTCTTAGCAGGAACCATAAAGAATGAATAGAGCTTTACAGTACATGCTGTGATTCTTTTATATTTAATATAGTGTTGTGCAAGTGTTGCATAATGTCCTATTGAGTCAGTTTACTTTACAGTTAAAAGAGCTTTCAATTTTTTCAAGCATCTACCCTAACAATCACCTTATCTCAGAATGCAGGTCCCATCATCACAGACATGAAAGGCCACGTTCTTGAAGACTGTGTAAATGCTTACAGATGTTCTGTTGTCATTCATAATTAATCTTATAATTATTATTGTTAAAAGTACTCATGTCATTAGTTAAAATATAATGGATATTTTGTTATAACTTGATGACTATAACTGAAATACAAAATAAACTATTTAGTATTGTTACTAAAAAATGAATTTATTACTGAAATTAAAAACAAAAATTCCAATAGTAGCTTAAAATGCAATAATACTGTTGACAAAAATGTCCCACTACAATGATTAAACACAAAGATCAAAAATGATTTCATCAGTTATTAATAGGATTCTCAGTGATAGAGTCTGGTGTCTACATGGATTACTTCTACATCACACTACATACTAAGAGCTCTACATAAAGACACTAACGTACCATAGGTAGTCACTGTATAATTTGCACTTGACCCGATAGATTATGGTACTTGTGGACATTTCCTGAAAAAGTTGAATAAACACTGATGATCTGAATTTCACTCACTGATAAATTCACACTCTAACATTCCCACTCCCAGCATCCCAATATCATTTTTTCTTTCCTCCAAAGTATATAGTACCTAAAAATTAAAGGCTCTAAGTTGTATCGATTATATTACTAATATAAGTAAAAAATTTTCCTGTATCATTTTAAAATATTAAGCTGTATATTTGAGATGTCATCCTGTATTCTCATTATAATATCTGAGTAAAGTGTTTAATTATAACTAAAAACCCCACAGGAAAAAGAAATGAGAAAATAATCATGACAATTAGCAAAAAGAACAATGAGCTATACACACATATTCTTCCTGTGTGATATTGCTAAAATGTTATGAAGCTACAGTATTTAAAGCAGTGTGGTACAGATGCATGAATTTGCTGGCAAATCAAAAGGAAATCCAGAAATAGATGCAAGAGTTTGCACCTGGGTGTTGTAAGATGGGCTGATACCACTTGGAATAAAATGAGGAAAGCAAAGATTTGTTAGTAAGCAGTGCAACTCCCCAGAAAAGCATGTTAAAGTCTTTTCTTGTGCTATCAATAATATTTATAATAATTGTCATGTATTAAGTATTAGTAAGGACCAGGCCTTGTTAAAAATACGTTACAGAGATTATTATTATATTTAACCATGACAAGTACTGGAATTATCCCCATTTCCCAAACAGGGAAGCTGCGGTTGAAAGAGGTTAATGAAATGCACATGGCTACTAAATGTTTTAGCCAGTAATCAAATGTAGGTAGTCTGTATTCGTAGCCACTGTGCTCAGGAATGTAGAAACTCAAACTACAAAGTAGTAGAAGAAAATAGGCGATATCTTTTTGATCTCTAGAAAAGGAAGAACTTCTGAACTTAAAAAAGAAATGGTAGCAATAAAATTCTGAATTGCTTTTCAAGAGATTAAGATCAAATATTCAGAAAATTTAAAAACAAATAAATAAAGCAGTAAGCTAAGGAAATACTTGTCACTCCCACCATGGGCTTATGGGGCAGGCTGGTTCTTCCCCACACTTTTTTTCTGCCTCCTCTTTCTCCGATGGGGGAATTTTAGGGGTCAGAGGATCATCTTGCTGAGCGGCAGCCATCTGCAGTGTACCTCCTACCAGTGTTATTCTGGAATGGGGGCAGGGACAGAGTGGGCCACAGATTTGTCTTCCTGGTATAGGGTCACCTCATCCCCGCCACCTCTTCTCCCCGTCTCATGCCCAAAGCAAGAGTTAAGTAGATGTTCCATCACGTCAGTTGTATATCAAATGAAGTGTGAGTCAGTCTTAAAAAAAGAAAGAATAAATAATGCCAAGAATCTATTTCATTAAGTCTTGGTCTGATTTTCAGGCCAAGGAGATGAACTGTTTTAAAATTCTATTCCCACAAAAACCAGCCTTAATCCGGGAGGTTTTTCCTGGGTAAGAAATACATCATTCTTTGTCCCCATATCCTATTTTATGCATTCTATTTGATATTGACTCAGCTTTGGGGCCTGTTTGTAGGGGATCTGGTTGAAATTTCTATTTCAAAAGCTTTCACACTAGAGAATGAATCATTCACACTTAATTCCTGGAGATAAGATACCATTTGCTGTAATCTTCATTTGGTTCCCTTATATTCTATTTTAAAAAAAAGTGTATTGCTTTTTCTTTCAAATGAAACAAGGAGTTGAAAGAGAGAAATTGGAGCCTATCAGAAAACAATTTGCAGTGTAAATCCTTGCTTTCATATTATGAGCTAAATCAAAATATGATGCAGGAAGAAAAGTTCCTATGATTTTTATGTGTCTTTTAATATGATGATCTCATTCCAGAATTCTTTTGAAGGAAAATAGTGAGAGAATCCATGCATCCAACTTCTATATAAAATTTCTTTATGACTTCATTAATCCTTCCATGATTACAGAATGTTATTAAGTCAAAGAAAAAGTCCTCTCTTTCTCATAATCTGCTTTTAATCGGAACAAGGTAAACAGGACAGGAAGAGAAAGTGCACGATTTGTACCACCCTGGATGAGCTTTCGTTGTTCATTTCCGCTGTGGACTTGTCTCAGTTTAACGTTTTTACTACTTCCTCCTCAAATTTAATATATCTTTTTTAAGATTTACATCCTTTTTCACTTACTTAAAGCTAGAATTCCAGAAAAAGATGGAAGAAATCTGGGAACAAATTTTAACCCCATCCAGTTTTATCTGTGAAATATTTAATACCACCAAGCATTCTTCTAAAATGAACTTCTCCCAACAAAATGAGAACAGCCACCCATGACCAATAATTAAAATAGGTATTCCTGCATGCCATAGGAAACAAATTTCATGGGTGACTTTGATTTTGGTGGGCAGGGGAACGCAACAGTGGGGGAGGGGCATTCAGCACTGTTCTTTGTGAAGTTCTGTTTAAAGAGGAAGATGATGACGACAGGGTCAGACCATAAAAAAGTCTGGGTACAGATCCAAGTTGTAGTTAAAAGATGCCTGCGGAAGGAGGCTGTAAAAAGAGAAAACTCTTTGCAACAGCTACTCCAGAATGATGTGCAATTAGAAACCTGGAAACATTGCAAAGATCCATTCCTGAAGCAGCTTCGTTTTAGGTGCCTTAAACTCAAAAGCTGGTGGGTGTTCTTCAACCCGTCGTTTCAGATCCTTGCTCTGTGGTCTCTCTGATAGTCTCGAAGGTTTATCCTAATTCAAGAAGCATGAAGGAGCTTTTCAGAAAAATCCTCACTTTTATTTAGACTTGGACGTGCTTTGCCCTCATTCTCCGGGTGTTCTGAGTTTCTTGAGCTGGATCACAGCAGTGAAGAACCCGCGTGGCTCAGCCAGAAGAAAGCAGCCGGAGGCAGGACAGACAGAATCCAGTGGCTGGCAAGAGTCCCATCTGGCTCTGGGTCCGCTCCCTCTTGCACGTAGTTACTCATTCTGTTATCTTACCCCATTGTCAAGATCAGGCAGCTGGTTAGTTTTGCTACCTCCCTTCTGTTTGATAACAAACTACCCCAAAACTTAGCCTATCTATAACTACTACCCTTCATCCTGTCTCTCTGTGTTGTAAGTCGGGAATTTGGGCAATTCTTCTGCCCCTTGTCACCTTCATTGGGGCCACGTGGTGGATTTCAGCAGTGTCTGAGCTTGTCTCATGGTGAGAGACTCACAGGGCTGGTACCTTGGCAGGATCAGCTGGAGGTCCGAGCCTGGCAGAGCTCAGCTCCCTCTCCATGCAGACTCGGAGCCTTTTGCTCCAGCAGTCACAGGCTCCAGTGTAGAACCTGCCCCTCCTTTCAGAGGTCAGGCCTGGCACTGGGGAAGCATCATTCTAGCTACACTCCCTTTGTTGGAGTTGTCACAGGCCAGCCCAGTAGAAGAGCTCAGTGGAAGAAGTGTTAA